AGAAGCCTGTAGGGTGTCAAAAGCCTAAGACCCACCCACAGGCTCTTAGCCTGAGGCATGCCAACACAAGAAAGGCCCTTAGTGCTCACCAAGCTTTCATAGCTGCAGAACTCCTGAGGGACAGCCCATGCGACTTCAGGGCAAAGGGAGATCCTCTGTCAGCAGTCCACATCGGCCCACAGGGACCCCTCCAGCAAAGGATGTGTCCTCAGAAACATGCACAGCCACCTGCTGCCTGCAGCAGCATCAGAGGATCAACACAGGGCGTAAAGTGAAGAAATACCCCTGCCCACCTGATCGGGTGCTCACAGGACTCAATAACCACTGGTGGCCGTCAGCAGAAGCAACAGCAGCATCACCACACTACTGTGGCTCCAATTCTTCTATCAATGAGCAATCAGACAGACCTAGGTCTGGGCCATGTTTCCACCATGATGTGACTGACTATGGGCAAGTTCCTAATCCACAAAATGGGGGACACAGAGTACCCATCTCTTAGTGTTTTGGGAGGGACACTGTAAACGTGAACTGTTCCTGCTTTTATCATTATTCAGCCACAAAGAGAGCTCAGGAAGAAGGGGTCACAACCAGGGTCCATCCAGACTGCAAATGCAGAATCAACCCCGAAAGCATTTTCTGAAGGCCTGATTGATGCAGAGTGCAGAAGGGTGTGAGAGTGAGAGATCAGGCAGTCCTCATCTCAGAACATGTCACCTTCCTGCAAAGAGGCAACAAATTTTCCCGGCAAGGATCAGGGACCCACCTGGCAAAACAGGGCTCAATGGCCAGAAACCGCCTACTTATTTCTCACCTTCTATTTCAAAAGGACACATGAATTCAGAAGAAAAAATTACAGGAAACAGCAAACACCTAGTATCTCACCTCTGAAGTTTAACAGATTGTTTCATTTTCCTCTAGTTATACCAGATTCCTTTTTCCAAAATAAAATAGACATAACTACTATCCCTGGCTGGTGTGGCTCAGTGGACTGAGTACAGGCCTGCAAACCAAAGGGTTGCCAGATTGATTCCCAGTCAGGGCACAGGCCTGGATTGCAGGCCAGGTCCCCAGTAGGGGGCGTGAGAGAGGCAACCATACATTGATGTTTCTCTCCCCCTCTTTCTCCTTCCCCTCTCTCTAAAAATAAATAAAATCTTTAAAAATAAAAAAGAATAGGCACAGCTAAAGCCTTCCCCAAGTCTTTGCTTCTCATCTTTTCCTACCCAAGCAATGGTTCCTCTAGCTACTGTGTAAATCCCACTCATCTTTCACCTCAGATTACAATTTATCTTTTTATTAGGTATATACTCATAAACAGTACACATAAGTCATATTTTTTAAATTTACAGAATCTTTTGCAACTTGCTTTTTTCCACTCAATAGGATATTTGGAGATTTATTAAAGGGCTAGGTAAATCAAACTGATTTTTTTATCTAATTGTTTTGTGCAAAACTGCAAAAGAACGAGCGAGTGCTGCACGTAGCACCTCCCATAATAAGCATGCCCCTTGATGACGTACTTCCACCAATTTCATAACATTCTTTAAAACTGGCCTTCGTTGTCACAATGACGTGGATTTCACTCCAAGGAGCAGCCATAGACAGGCTCACAGAGGTTAAGTAAGCTGTCCTGGGTCACACAATGAGATTGGCAGAGCCACGACTCAGCCCGGGCCTATTCACTGTCTAACATACCTTTTTTTTTTTAAGATTTTATTTACTTTTAGAGAGAAGGGAAGGGAGAGGGAAAAGAGAGGGAGAGAAACATCAATGTGTGAGAGAAACATCAATCCCTTTTGCCTTTTGCATCCCTCCAACCAGGGACCTGGCCCACAACCCAGGCATGTGACCTGCCAGGGAATCAAACCAGTGAGTGACCTTCCAGTTCACAGACCAGCTCTCAATCCACTGAGCCACACCAGCCAGGCCCTAAATCTAACATACCTTTGACACCATTAAACATGAGTGTACTTACTCTCTCCTTAATTATCACCTTCCTACTCAGAAACAATTGTCACATAGTTATTCCTGTGAAGGTAGCTGAGGCAAGAATTTGCCCGAGGCACTATACTGGCCTAGAATTATCCACAAACTGGGCACCAATAGAGCTACCCTTTGTGGAGAGGGATGACTGAAGATCCTAAATGAGAGCAGGGGGAACCCCAAGAGGATGAGGCTTCCTCACCTTGGGGTACCTAGCTGCAGGAAATGAGCAGTGACAGGCTCAGGGATGCTGAAAGGTAGCAATTCCCCTCATTACAAGATGCAACAGCTATTTTTCCAGTTGCTACTGGGATCATTGTTTTGACCTCTTATCTACAATGGCAAAAACTGCAATAAAAAAATCCGGTAGCCTGACATGAGCAGTTCCCTTATCTTACCTTGCTCAGACCCCAAGACAATCCCAAGGGCAGCCCTCAACTTCCAAGAGCCAGCTTTAGCTAAGACCTGAGGGTAACCTGCCTTATCCACCCTGCTCTATCTGCTAGTCTCAGGCCACTGAAGGGAGACTTTTTTTTTTCCTCTTTTTTAATCTCAGATCACAGAGGGGAGGCAGGCAATAAACTTCAACAAACCTTTCCTACAGCTGGAATTCTAACAGCCATAACATCAGATATCAGCCCTGGTTAGCTTGCTGTGTGACACTGCGCAAGTCCTACACCTTTCTGTGTAACATTTCTAACACTCATAAACTGCACTTCAATCACTTGTAAACTACACTTTATCATCTAAAGAAACCTCTGAGGGCCACAAAGGCCTTTTGAGGAAGGCTGATCTCTCAGTGGGCAGGGAGTCACTTAGGAGGAGACTCAGTCCCAAATAAAAATATATTCTTTGATGTGGATAGTAACTGAAACCATTTTCTCAATCTTTGCTAAATGTGAGTGAAAGCATCCTTGCTATTTTTACTAATCTGCAAAAAAACACCCGGAGTAAAACTAATCTGCTTGCTGTGTGAACTGGACGGGGAGACAAACGTTCCTCCCATCCAGAAATTCTGTAGCTATCACCTCAGTGGGTACTTGGCAAAGGTTAGCAGGGAATGATAACAGAGAACTGCAAAATAACTATTTTTTTTCCTCCAAGGTCACTTGAAGCTCCCCACTCTTTGTGGGAGGGAAAAGGTGTGAGTAAGGCAAAGCATGTTCCTCAGTCCAACCATGGGTCTCAGGCTGTGCCCAGCTTCCCAGAACAAAAGTGCCCACCCTAAGAGTTCTCAGAGGCCTACTTTATCTGACTAACTAGTAAAATTAAGGGATTTGATTTGAGTGGTAAACACACAACGCTATATACAGATAATGAATTATAAAACTGTATACTTGAAACCAGTATAATTTTATTAATCAATGGTACCCCCAACAAATTTAATAAAAAATAAAATTAAAACTCCACTTTCAAACTGCCACACGGACCTTCCATCCTGCATGTTTCAAACTAAATGTGGCCTTTTCTCCAGGGTTACACAGAGGGTTTGAAAGGGAAAACTATATTCAAAGAACTTTATATATAATGATCATAAAGATGAATGGGGCACGAGAGATAAGTGAATCCCTACCTTCTTTTTTTTAGCACCTTGTTAAAAATGACTGAGGATGTATTGGTTAAAAGTTTCAAAGGATTCTGAATGAATTTACCAAAAATAATAATAATAAAGAGGCAAGCAGAGATAGTGGTATTCAACTTATGAATAAGAACAATTAATCCTTCCATTTATGTGAGGTACCTAACCATAGTCAAGTTCATAGAAACAGGAAGTAGAATGGCAGTTGCTGGGCAGAGGGGGGAATAGGAAGCTAATATTTAACCAGCACAGAATTTCGGTTTTGCAAGATGAAAAGAACAGAGTTCTAGAGACTGGTGGCAGTGATGGTTGCACAACAATGTGAACGTACTTCATGCTACTGACCTGTACCCTTAAAAAGAGTAAAGATGGTAAATTTTATACATATTTTACCACGATTTTTTTAATTGAGAGGGGGAAGAAAGAACAATAAATTCCTTGACCTGCTAATTTTCATTTGGGGACCAGTATGCCATAGTGGCTAGTAGCTAAGACTCTGAAGTTCTGAGTTTCTCTCTCTGCTCTGCATTTACTAGCTGGGAACCTTTAGGCAAGTCACTGGACATCTATGAGGCTGTTTCTTCATCTACAAAAATGGAAATAATAATAGTCTCCTAGTTCACAGGCTATGAGGATAAGGGAACAAGGTAACAGAATCTCATTAGCACATGAGTGAGCACTTGCTAAATGGTTATAATTAACATTTTTAATAATAAGTGATCTTAATATTCAATGATGTTACTTAAAAATCAGCAATAACTAAATAATAACAAAATTACTACTATTATCAGAGAGATCTGTAAGTGTATGAAAATACTGTTTTATGAAAAAAGAACCCCAAGTTAGTAGTCAGAAGACGGGCTTCAAGAGTGGCTGTGGGCGTGAGTTTTCTCCACGGTGACACACAAGGATTGACAAAGATGACCTCTTAGATTACGAGGAAGCCAGAAGCTTTGCTGCTTGGCCAGAACCAGCCCTGGCAGCACTGCCTTCATCTCCTAAGCTTCTCGGAACGTCCTGGGAGAGGGAAGGGGTCCAAAGGTCGTGCCAAAGAGAGCTGACAGCAAAACCCCTTCCTAAGCCTGAGGAGACGGCATGGTGCAAGGTTTGGGCAAGACACCCACGCATCGTGGGCAAAGGTCCCACACTCCCCCTCCTCCCCGCCAAAGTCTGCAACTTTGCCCGCTGGGGGAGCTGGAAGCAGGTCTAGCGGAGACCCCCAAAAAATGGCACCCCCAAAACAGCCTGGTTTGCAGAATTATAAATACCTCCTCTGCACATGCGCACTGAATTTACGAGCAGCTACAGGGCACAACCGCACCCACTGCGCCTGCGCCGTTTGGCTCTTCTACGAACACAGGACGGGATTCCCGTGGTCCCACAAAGAAAAAAAATGGGTCTGCGGCCACCGGTCGGTCCCCGTTTTCTCGTTTCTTACCTCATAGTGCTTCATGACTCCCTCACACAGCGACTGCTGCTCCTGCTGTTGCTTCTGCCTACCAGCGCGCGATGCAGGACTGGTCCCTCAGGCGCTCACTACCCCCGCGCGAGACTAACCGTGGCTCCCTGTTCGCCCCGCCCATCCCTGCCGCGCGTTCTCCCCCAGCCAATCAGCGTGCAGGGCGCCCACCTTCGTCCCCGCCCCGCGGGATGGTCGAGGGAAGACTAGCCTCTCTCAATCCTAGGGACGGCCAACCAGCTTGCGGAATCCACCCAGGGGGCGGAGCGCAGGCCGGACAAGACTTCGAAAAAGGGGCGCATCCCACACCAATCAAAATTGGCCCGCAGGCCGCGGGCCCCTTTCCCCGCTCCTTGGTGGCGTCGCTGTGGAAACTGAGGGAAGCGACGGTTAAAGCAAAGCCGGGGGCGGGAGCAAGAAGTTGAGTGACAAGGAGGGCACCGTCCACAAACCGGGCGGCGAGGCTGGGTGAATTCCGAAGTGGGCGGCCCCTGGGGTACTGGGGAGCAATGGGAGAGGCTAGGGGCTCGGGGAGTGGGCTGAAGTGCCTAGATGAAGAGGGCTCTCTGGCGAAGGGACCCGTATCTATCACGAATGGGAGGGAAGGAAAGGAGAAATGGGTGGCGAAAAGCACCCTGGGATTCTCCCAACCTACACCCTGGTGGGTGTCTTCACTGCCCTTTTCAATGCAAGCTCCCATTCAGTAAGGGCAAGGGGGCCACATTTGTCTCCACCTGCGATGTCGGGTATGGTCACCACGTGAAGCTGGCAAGCCCTTGAAATATGGCTGGTCCAGTTTAAGATGTGCTGTATAAATGTCAAACACACTAATTTCAAAAAATAGTATGAAAAGGAGGGGTTTTTTAAATCTCATAACAACCTTTTATGTCGATTACACCTTGAAATGATATTTTGGATATATTGGATTAAGATACATTACTAAAATTAAGTTCTCCTGTTTCTTTTAACTTTTTTAACGTGCCTATTGCAATACTGAAAATCAGACACAGCTCACATTTGTGGCTGGCAGTTGTGCACATACTAGCTCTACTGGACAGTGCTGGCCTGGGGTCATGCCATCTTTTGTCATGAATGGGCTTGAGAGGTTGGATGCTAACACACACACACATATGCACACGGACTCATCATGCATACACTCAAGACTTCAGGACAAGCTAAGGAGTGGGCGGCACATGACACACTCCCTCAACTTTTCTTTTCTCCCAGTTCCAGGCCTGCTCCTGAGACACCATCAACAGTTGCACCCTCTGAAACCCAGAGATCTGACATCAGGGAGATGGGGAGAAGTCCTCAAAGGTAGATCTCTGAATCATAGGGGAGTGGGGTGGGGTGAGAGTGAGTCACTGCTGAGCCCTTAATCATCCAGGTTCAGTTCTAGAAACTTCTGAAGCTATAGCTTTTGGGAACTTCCAGGTAATGGCCAAGGCTGTTGTCTTCAGAAATTCACTATCCTTTTCACTGTGCCTGTGTGGACAAAACAAATGAAAGCACAAAGGTGTTTTATAACTGCACTTTCAAAAGCACCTATCCTTTTCTGTTAGTTGTGGGGCTCATAGTATCTTGAAACCTGTGTCCCAACAGGCCTCCTTGCTGCCCTATTTAAGGGGGACAGGGGAGTACTCCAAGGCCACAAGTCAAAATCCTACCAAGTTGAATTACTTGAGATGTCTAATTGTGAGTTGTTGAATGGGCAGGATTGAACCCTAAAACCTAGCCACATTTTGCTACTTTGCCAGTTCTGGCAATTTTCATTTTCTCTAGTGTGATCTGAGTAGGTGCTTCTTCCGTATCACTGGGTTCCAGCTATATAATGTGGTGTTGTGGCCAAATAAATGACGTTCTTGGAGAGATTGCACACACATTTCTACAGACTTGGAACATTCTGGAGTTCCTTTTTTGAAACTGCTTTCCTGAGCTGCACACTCATTCAACAAGAACAAAATCATTTTGTGAATCTGTGCTGTGTGCCATCAGTGGCATACAAATAATTTCCACCCTGCTCACGCACAAGAGGCTCATAGGAAGGCAGGAGTAGGTCTCCCAAGGAGAATTCTTCCTTACTTTTGACAGTTAGTACAGGAGTGAGGACCCCCCTGTTGGGTTCATCCAGCTTCCAGTAACCAGGCTGTCAGCAAAAATCAAATCCACTGTTGGAATGAAGACTGATCACTTTATACAGCCATTCATGACACTGTACAGTAGCTGTGGCTGTGCCTGACATTAGGGACAGATAAGTCATGCTTGTGCACTCAGTATCCCCAGCACAGTGGTCGATTTCTAACAGTGACAGGTAGACACATTTGGTGTTTGCTGAGCCAACTGTAACAAGCCGCTGAGAGTAGTTTCCAAAGGGAAAATTCCAGAAAGGTTTGCATTTGGCAGTGCTAAAAGATAAAAGGGGCCTCCTGGGGGCTCAGATTTGGGGGAACAGTCATTGGACATCACAGATCTGGTATGTTCAGTTGTGTCTGGCTCACAAGCTCCTTTTGTATTTCCCACATGCGGGTAAGGTAGGACTTGATTTTCCCAGAACCTGGCTTGGCTGGTTTGGGGGAGCAGGACAGAGCTGTTTCAGAGAATGTGGGAGAAGGTGGAGCAAAGAGCAGACAAGTTAGGGCTGGTTAGCAACCTTCTGCTGTGTCAGGAGCCCCAGAGGGAGATCTCCCAAGCCCTGCCCTGTTTTGCCATTTTTATCATTAAACCCATTGAATCTTTATTTTGTCTTTGTTTTTTAAATGAGGTATATTTTACATACAGTAAAATTCACTTTTCTCAGTGTATAGTTCTGAATACAGACAGCAGTATAACCACCCCCAGGCAAGATATAAAGCATATTCATCATCGCAAAAGTTTCTCCTGTACCCCTCATTAGCAGGTCCCAGCTCCTGACAATTACTTTCTGCCCTCAATATTTTTGCCTTTTCCAGAAGGTCCTATAAAATGGCATCACACAGTAAAGAGCCTTTTGAGTCAGTCTTCTTTCACTAACAATGTATTTGAGGTTCATTTCCATTATTTCCAGTATCAGTAACTTGTTTCTTTCTTTTTTAAAAGATTTATTTTTAGAGAGGAAAAGGGAGGGTAAAAGAAGGAGAAAAACATCAATGTGTGGTTGCCTCTTACATGCCCCCAACTGTGGACCTGGCCTGCAACCAAGGCATGTGCCCTGACTGGGAATCAAACTGCTGACTCTGGTTCACAGGGCAGCACTCGATTCACTGAGCCACACCACCCAGGGCAACGTTTTTCTTTTTTTATGATTGAATAGTATTCCATCTTGTGCTGGATCAGTTTGTCCATCCATTCAGCCACTGAAGGACATTTAAGTTTTAATGGCTTTCAGTAATTATAAATAAAACCTTGATAAACATTGATTTATGTGTTTTGTGTGAACATGGGGTTTTTTTTTCACAGCAGTTGTATTTGAAATAACCGAAATGTTCATCTGTTATGAATGGATAAACAAACCATGGTATACTCATTCAATGGAATACTTCTCAACAATAAAAAGGAGTGAACATGGGTTTTTAATGAGTATACACATGTATTCAGCCAAGGGTGGGAATGCTAGCTCATCTGGCAGTAGCTTTTGAATGTCTTTTTGATGAAGAGAATTGAAAAGAGTGCATTTTTCTAAATTAAAGCTTTATCATTATCTCAATCACATCTTACACAAGCTGAGTACTTTTACCAGAAGCACTCTGTGTGCTAAACACTCTACACTTCAGCATCTTATTCCCTGGATGTCCTCAAGCAAGTCACATGACTGCTCAGAGCCCTGATTTCCCCACCTGTAAAATGAAGGTAACACTAGGACAACCTCCTAGGATTGTTGCAAGGATTAGATGAGATAATACACACTGAGCACTTGAAAATGACTTGGCACATAGTAGGGCCATGTCCATGTTAACTGTCATCATAATGTTCATTTCCTGGCCCCTCTTACAACTTTATCCACATAACAACCCTAAATGCTAAGAGCAAGCAAGTTGTGTAAGATCACACAGGCAGTAAATAAGTAAATAATGTGTCCACGATTTCAAAGGGAGAGAAACATGAATCACCCCCAACTGGTGACCTTTCAGTTCACTGGTTGGCACTCAATCCACTGAGCCACACAGGCTGGAATTAGGAGCTGATATTTCTTTCTCAGGAAAACCTCAGTATGTGTTTATTTAATATAATTTTTTCTTGTGGTGAAAACTTTTAAGATCTACTCTCTCAGCAACTTTTATTTTTTTAATACTTTATTTATTTTTAGAGAGGGGAAGGGAGGGAGAAAGAGGGGGAGAGAAACATCAGTGTGTGGTTGCCCCTCATATACCCCTCACTGGGGACCTAGCCCACAACCCAGGCATGTGCCCTGACTGAGAATTAAACTGGCGACCCTTTAGTTCGCAAGCCAGTGCTCAATCGACAGAGCCATACCAGCCAGGGCTTATTTATGTAACTTTTTAAAAATCAAACTCTTGCCCTGGCTGGTGTAGCTCATTGGATTGAGCATGGGCTATGAACCAAAGGGTTGCCAGATTGATTCCCAGTCAGGGCACACGCCTGGGTTGCAGGCCAGGTCCCCAGCAGGGGCCACATAAGAGGCAACCATACATTGATGTTTCTCTTCCTTTCTTTCTCCCTCCCTCCGTTCCCCTCTATCTAAAAATAAAATCAAACTCGTTCTCTCATGCTTGGTTCATGACCCTCTGCTATGCAGTACAGGTAGACACACAGCCCAAACCCATCCTCCCAAATTACACGGTTACCCTGGGCTCCCTGAACAGCCATGGAGGGCCAGAATCCCCCCACTGGACCACAGGGAAGGCTAGAGCTGCCTTCTCAGGAGTCCCAGGCTGAAGCACATGGTTCTGCAGCTCCTCATTCAACAACAGGGTTTGTTACCCCTTTGAGCCAGGGCTGTCCTGGGCACTTTGCACTTTACAAATGTTGACTCATGTCAACTACAAAGTTCTATGAGGCAACCACCACCCCCACCCCCATTGTACAGATTAGGAAACTGAGGCTTAGAATGGGTCAGTAACCAGCCGAAACTCATGTAGCCAAGAAGTGCTGGAACCAAAAATGACACTATCTGGCTCCACAGCCAATGTCACATCGCCCCG